AGCTAGTTAGCTAGGTTTGCTGGGTAAATAGCTGCTGCATTGTGAGATGAATGTTTATGCACCATGTTCAAGTTAACTTCCCTTCAGGAAAAGGAATTTTAAGCTTTTAATGTTATGGCCTATTTGGAATGGGCTAGAGTAATCAATGTACTCAGCAGAGATGGTTTCTGTAATTAAAAAAATGGCATGACCTCTCAGTCTCTGTTACTATTCATTATTCCTTTTACCAAATTGTTGTCTTATCTGTTTTCTTGAGTGGGTTTGACTCCAAAGATACCGTAAATTAAAATTTGAGGACATATGAAAGAGCAGAACCACCTCTTACAGTGAAAGTAGCCTGAAGGCTGGAAAGAAATAACACAACCTTTATGTCATTTGCTGCAAAAGTGATCAAATCTGCACTGACATTTTCAGACCTCTCTAAATAGTGAACAGCGCAGTGAAAGATGGGTCGTTCATATTTAACCCACCGAGGTTCAGGATTTATGTGTTTATGTTAGATAAACACATAAATCCTCAGAGAAAAAGGCAGAATCCAACAGTCCAGCTGCAGGTGGGCCGCGGTGGGGGGCCTGGGCCGGCACCACTGGATCATCCTGTAGATCGTGCGCAGGTTTAAGCTGGTCCATTGAAACCACCTCCTGCCGACCCCCGAAGTCCAAAAGGAAATGCTTGTGGCCTGGTTTAAGAACTCTATATGGGCCATCATAAAGCGGACGCAAGGGAGGTTGATGGGCATCGTGCCTGACAAAAGCAAACCAAGAAGAGTCCAACGACCTCGGAACAAAAACGTCGGCCAGGCAGTGGTGCACTGTGCCAGGAACAGAAAAGGAGCCTCCTGGGGAACGGAGAGACGGCACGGAGGTATCGAAACACAGAGGGGGGCTCTCAGGCAAAAATTCTCCAGGAACTCGGAGGGGCTGCCCAAGAACGAGTTCGGCCGGAGAAACCCAGAGGTCCTCCTTAACCGCGCAGTGCAACCCCAAACAAAACCCAGGAAAGACAGTTGACTCAGTTGCCGCCCGTTAAGGAAGATCAGAGCACGGCCTTGAGTGACCGGTGAAACCACTCGCACATTCTGTTAGCAGGTGGGTGGTATGGTATAGTGCGGTGGACCTTGACCCCCAGGCCGTCAGCCATGGCAGACCAAAGCTCCAAAATGAACTGGTGGCCCCTGTCCAAGGTAATGTCAGTGGGGGGACCAAAATACGAAACCCACGTCGACACAAATGCCCTGGCCACCACCTCCACCGTCGTGGATACCAGGGGAACCACCTCCGGCCACCTGGTCGTGCAATCCACCACATTCAAGGTGCGTGAAACCCTGTGACTGCGGAAGAGGGCCGACCAAATCGACATGCACATGGTCGAAATGCCTACCAGGGACGTGGAAAGGTTCGAGGGCTGGCTAAGTGTGTCTATGGGTCGTCGAGTGTTGGCATGGAACGCACGCCACAGCCCAGCTCATCACAGATTTCCGCAGGCCTGGCCAAATGAACCTGGCGTTGACCAGCTTGACCGAACCCCGTACACCCGGATGAGAGAGGGCATGGATGGAGTCGAAAACACAACGGAATGATAGGGCGACCGGTGGAAACGTCGCACAACAAACGCGGACGGCCATTCTACACTGACGTGCCCTCCAGCACAAGGCCTGTCTGCGCAGACCAAAGGGCAAGGGCGTCCGGGTCGGTGCTCTGCTCAGCGGCCATGGCAGTGTACTCGACACTGACATACACGGGAGAAAGCAACATGTGGGACAAAGGCCTTTCCAGCAGTGCCGTCGTGTAGTGATTCGTGCTGTCAGCGCCCGATCTGCCGCTCCGGGGGAGGCAGGTGGAGGTGCTGTCGGCAGGTCCGTAGCAGGGAGCGGTAATCCCTCACTGCCAGAAACAGGGAGTTGGCGAGGCCCTCATGGCCACAGGCAACTGTCGGAGGAAGAGATGGATGAAGAGCAATCCCCCATCATCCGAGCCGAGCAAGGACAACATGCTCTCCATGAGTTCCAGAGCCATCACCCCATCCAGGCCCGAGAGTTCCTTCGGCATCAGAGAAGGTGTATCGCCAAAGCAGCAGGTCCTTAAGGGAGACAAACTTCCTGTGTGCAGGTGGGTCCCGGAGGAGGGTCATTGCACGGTGGGTGGCTAACAGGTCAAGCGAGGCCATGATGAAACTTTGTGTCGTCATCTGAGATGCCGTGAAGAGCAAACTGAGCCTCCACGTGAACGAACCATGACGGGGGATCGTGGAGCCAAAAGTCCGACAACTTGAGCGCTACGGCAAACGTAGCCGCGGCAGGAGGCAGAGGGCCAGCGGTCACTGGTGCATCCAGGGCGAGGCCAGCATCATCCAGGGCGAGGCCAGCATCATCCATGGCCAACATGTCCAAATCTAGGGTCACCAATGTGGAGCTATGGTACAAACGACACGGGAGCTCTAACTTTCCACTCCGACTTTATTCCTCACCACACATCAACTGAACACATCGTGCCACACAACTCGACAAAACCCTTTACGGTCGAAGCCAACTGGCTACTCACATCGAGCATGGCCCTTGAACTCAACTCACTTACTAGTGGAGACCCAAGTGGGCCACCACAATGTGATAATCGTCCCATTATCCTAAAGTAGACATGAACCTAGTTTTGCACTATCTAATCATACTTATTGAACTGCAGAGGCGTGTGGTGATTTTTATAGAAAGCCAAACAGAGATGACCCCCCCACCACCACCACACACACACGTACGTGGAGCACACAAGCAAAAACACGTTCCTGCACTATTTAACAAGATAAACTGGATTAGATTAAAACTGGTGTTCCCTGTCTGCACTCCTTCCTGACCAAAGGACTGTAAAGTATGATTAACTCTGTAGTTGAAGAAATATCTACCATATTACCAAACATGATTTATTATTGGCTGAACGTGATGAGTGGCTGAGAACATTTTCAAGCTATTCTTTTTTCTTCTAAAAAGCAATAAAACACTATGAAAACACCTCAGTACATATAAGACTGGATTATTGGTGCATAAAGGATCAAGAGTCAGAGAGAAGTCATTAATATTACTGCCGCATGTTTAAGATTGGACTCATTTTAAGGTCTTTATATTCTATTTAAGCTCCGGCATCATCAAACTGCTGTTTTTTTAAAGTATATTAAAACATATAATAATAATAAATCAGCTGAAAATGAGGCCGACTGCAAGATGACCAGCAGCACAGAGATGTGGAGTCAGTATAGCTGCTGAAGATGGGCAGTGGCCTCAAATAAAAATGTGTTTGGTGATCTGAAACAGATGAAAATGTCAGCATCATCATATCAGGAGGAGACTAACAGCACTGTAGACAAAGACAGTGAGGAAGACTGAGGATGTTTTACGGGCCTTTTCAGATGAATGGCTAATTTGGATTAGAAATCATAGAAGCAAAGATGAATGAAGCACATAAAATTACACAAATATAGATCCCATGGCATGAACGTCTGAGGCAGAATGACAGGAAACAGAACAGCACTGAGGTGGATTAGTAACGAATGGGTTTAGAGTGATTAAAGCAGAACTGATTTTGACAGCATGAAAAAGAGGAAGTGATCAAAAGAATAGACGAGATGTCACCGCCTGCAGAGGCAGACTGTGTGAGGAGCAGACACAGGCAAGGAGAACGTGAATGAAGCCTTTATTATGATTACAGGTAGCCAAAAACAAGGCAACGAGGACTCTGGTGAAACTGGAGCCTAAGAACTGTGACTGAACTATAATAACGATGAAGACTATGGTTGTGATGACAGGGAGGTAGGTAACACAGACGATGTGACCCTGAACACAGGAAGACTCACTCAGGGGAAGTGGAGACACGAGGAAACAGCTGACTAGAGTGAACATAATGACGCCACAGTGGAAGTGAAACTAAAACAACATGGACCACAAGACGCCTTTAAAGTAGAACAGGAACCATAAATAAGACGCAGACGTGACATCAGCGAGACAACATGAACCACACAGACTTGAGACATGACAGATTAGACACAATCAGAGAGACTTATTGGTCAGACATAAGGGGAACCATGGACTGTAACTGCAACCTAAGCAAGACAGGATTTAACTAGATAAGCTGAAATGAAGCTAGAACACA